ATATATAGTTTTCTTCTCTCTCTTCTCTCTCTCTCTCTCTATATATATATATATGTAGTTTTTCTCTCTATCTCTCTCTCTATATATATGTATATAGTTTGTCAAAACCAAGTTTCAAAATTAACTCAAATGAGTATTGAAAGGCTAATGTAGGTACACCGAGAAAAAAAACCTTAGTTTATCTGTATTGAGGTTTTGTTTAACCATTTCTTATTTTATTTATTTAACCATTTCCTCTTGGCTTTATAGAATAATCCTGAACATTTACAGTTTTCTGGGATGGTTAATTTATCATGATTTGTGGCGTAGTGTACTTAATTATTTTTCTCCTTAGGATGGAGACGGAAAAATCACTTGCGAAGAGTTTTGCAGAGGTTTTAAGAATGATCCGGTAATCGTGAGGGCTCTGGTACCAGACGATTCAAGTAAAAGTGTTTCATAACGACCGGCTATATCACGTCATAATCGTTCTTCAGCTCAGAGTTCTGTAACGATTCCAAAAACTATCTTCAGCTCAGAGTTCTGTAACGATTTCAGAAACTACCGATTGATTCTGCTGAAAGCTCTCGTTCCTGAGATTTAAGAAAAAAATAATTATTATTATTAATCGTTCTTGTCACGTGACTGTTCTATCAACTCGTAGCTCTGCAACTGTTTGAAGAACGATCGTCTGATTGTGAGAGTTCTGGTACCAGCTAATTCACAAGAAACTACCACTGTAGCCCGAGAACAGTTAATATATTTACTTTTGTCGATTTGCTTTGAGACAGTCGACGTTTATGTCACATCGAATTTGTAAGTTACATAATTTTTTTTTTACGAGTTACGGATTAGAAATCATCCAAGCAATAAGACGGAATGGGATAAAGTCTAACGGAGACAAACGATTTTTATTTGATCGCCTTCACTGTTGTAATTAATGTTGCTCGTTTTTAACTTGGTTAACAACAATGCCTTTGTTCATAGCGGTGAAAAAAAGAAGATAATAAATATTAGATCACAGATACTGGGATAGGAAATATTAGATCACAGATACTGGGATAAGAAATATTAGATCACAGATACTAGGATAGGAAATATTAGATCACAGATACTGGGATAAGAAATATTAGATCATAGATACTGTGATAAGAAATATTAGATCACAGATACTGGGATAAGAAATATTAGATCACAGATACTAGGATAAGAAATATTAGATCATAGATACTGGGATAAGAAATATTAGATCACAGATACTGGGATAAGAAATATTAGATCATAGATACTGGGATAAGAAATATTAGATCATAGATACTGGGATAAGAAATATTAGATCACAGATACTGGGATAAGAAATATTAGATCACAGATACTAGGATAAGAAATATTAGATCACATATACTGGGATAGGAAATATTAGATCATAGATACTGGGATTAGAAATATTAGATCACAGATACTGGGATTGATAATCGAAATAGTGCTATTTTAGTAAAAACGCGTTTATTTCAGTATATCTAAAACTGTTGTTAATTTTACAAAGCAAAATAACACAACCAGTTCGTATTAGTCTTATTTCAAAATTATAATGGTTGTTAGTAAAAAATAAAAATAATCAATTCCTCCACTTGCTCCAAACTGTTTTCTATGGGCACTTAAAACTGGGTCTATAAAGTTCTAACTAGAAGGCTATGTTACATAACACGTATCAAACTACCTGCATCACACTGGCACGAATTTTGATTTCATTACCATGACTCTGCGGGGTGAAGAGAAACACGAGCTTCTGAGCAGCCCCCGGGGCGTCTTTCAGGCCCCTAATTTTTTTTTTTTTTAGCCTTGAAAGATATTAAAGCTAAATTCCTGTCACGGATTTTGATTTGATCTTTAGGAAAGCATATATGTTTCTACGTGTATTAGTACTTCGTTGACACAGGTAAGTACAATTACAACAATAGTTTGCACTATCACGACAGTGGAATTAATAGGCTTTTAAACGGGCTGCCATCAAATGGGCCACCCACAAAAATAAGACACACACACACACGAGGCGATAACAACAATATGTAACATAAGCTTTAATGTAAAGTCCTTTACTTACCACTAATAACCTAAAATACTTTAGGTATCTGAATAGTATGTTGCTATAGTATATTAGGTATCTGAATAGCATGTTACTATACTATATTAGGCATCTGAATAGCATGTTACTATACCGTTACAATTAATTATTTGTTATCATTCAGTGGACTAGGTGGACATTTTTTTGTGAATTTTCCTTTTCTTCACCAAAACGTTTAATTTCAGTAAAAAACAACAACAAAAAACATAATTATATGTGACGTAGTTAGAAATCCTTAAAATCACGACTGGTGTCGTTGGTACCGTCTTATTTAACATAGGAACACAAATCAGGCTAGTGGACAACCGGGTGGGCCACCCACAACAACATGTATCGTGATCCTGGCTGGGATTGCAACGTTTCGGGGACCGTGTATATATATATATATATGTCTCTAAATGTAATCAATATGTAGGTGCAGTAAGTGGTTTGGGCATTCGACTCGCGATATGTGTATCGTGGCTTCGAACCCCCTTCACAGAACATGGTCGCCTTTTCAGCTGTAGGGACATTATAATGTGATGGTTAATCCCACTTTTCGTTGGTAAAGAGCAACGCAAGAGTTGGCGGTGAGTGTTATTGACTAGCTGCTTTCCTTGTAGTTTTATACTTCTAAATTAAGGACGCCCAGGGCAAATAACCCTAGAGTAGCTTTGTGTGAAATTCAACAAACAAACAAACTCTCTGTGGTATTTCCGTTTCCAAAGGGCATGTTGCCATCGTGCCTGGAACTGGTAGTTTTTATGGACTTTTTCATTATAGTTATATGTTTCATGAAGATTTTAGCAATCCTCATAGGTAAAGCTTTATACTGAATGGTTTTAGTTTTAAGATATCTAAAGTAGCTCTTAACATTTGCAGGTGAAGATCTCATATTTCCATGTTCTAAGAAAGGCCTCACATTTCCATGTTCCAAGAAAGGCTTCATATTTCCATGGCCCAAGGAAGGCCTCATATTTCCATGATCCAAGAAAGGCCAAATATTTCCATGGTCCAAGAAAGGCCTCGTATTTCCATGGTCCAAGAAAGGCCTCATATTTCCATGGCCCAAGGAAGGTCTCATATTTCCATGTTCCAAGAAAGGCTTCGTATTTCCATGGTCCAAGGAAGGCCTCATATTTCCATGGTCCAAGAAAGGCTTCGTATTTCCATGGTCCAAGGAAGGCCTCATATTTC